CATGAAGGTGCTGCAGGGTTACCTCAGCGGCTAAGCCGGTTACTCCTGGTAACAAACAGGCTTTGTTTGAGGAAAACCACCCGGCAGGGCAGGCTGGCTTGAGTCCTGGCCCTTGCTTCGGATGGATGTCTCCTCACTTCCGCTGAAACCTTTCCAGGGCTCAGGAACGTGGACTGGTCACTGCCCTCCCATGGCATCACCTCTGCCAGCACCTCCGCCCAGCCCTGGGTGACTCAAGGGCTCTGTTTCCACAGTGACAGTTCCACTGAGTCACTTCTGCTGCTGGCCGTGACCACGGTTTTATGGCTCTTGTGTCAGAGTTGCTCTCGTTCCTTCCTGGTGAGCCTTTCAAGAGTGTGAATTTCATGGAATCCTGGAATGGGTTGGGTTGGAGGAACCTTAAAGCCCATCCAGTCCCACCCTTGCCATGGGCAGGGGCATCTTCCACCAGCCCAGATTGCTCCAAGCCACATCCAACCTGGCCTGGAACACTTCTAGAGATGGAGCAGCCACAGCTTCTCTGGACAACCTGTGCCAGTGCCTCAGCACCTCACAGGGGAGAATTTGTCCCTAATAATCATCTATCCCAGCCCTCCGGCAGTGGGAAGCCTTTGCCCCGTGTCCTGGCACTCCAGGCCCTTGTTCACAGTCCCTTCACAGAGGTTGTGCAGCTCTGACCTGCTCTGGAGAGAATCCCCTGCATCAGGATTGATGCCCTGGTGGTGGGCAGGACCAGCATCAGGTATTGTTTAGATGAAGCTTTGTTTTGTTTTTCAGTGTCTAGTGCTGGTTTAGCGGAACATCTTCATTTTGTACACAGAAATGTACATTCTTTCCCCATGGAAGATAAACACTTTTATCTCAGGAATTCCCATCTGTTGTTTCCAGATGTACAGAGAAGATTTCTAGCTTGGGAGTGTGAAGGAGCTCCAAAATGCTCAAGTGAGGGCACCAGTTTTAAAGCCATGGAATGGGAGCTGTGCTGCCCACCCTGCTCAGGGCTGAGCTGCAGCAGAGCCCAGTGGGCTGGGCTGGAAAGAGGGGGAAAATGACAGCATAAAGCCCTCGGAGACGAGCTGATTTGGGGGCACATGCAATGCATTTTTTGGATGTTACAGTGAGCTAACGTGCTGTAATTAGCATGTCTAGGATAAAAAGTTACAGTCTTTGCCCTGTCAAACCCCCTGTGTTGGGGTGAGGCAATTACTCTGGCCATGCCATCCCCAAACAGGGAATGGCTCCAACATTCATGTGCCAGGACGGATTTCATGTTCAGTGTGAGATTCACTGTATCACAGAAAAAATCTGCTTGAAGAAACAGCAGTTTTGTTAAAAATCAGTTTCTCAGTGTTATGATATCACAAAGTGCAGGGCTGGCTCTGCTCAAGGTTGGCTGGCTGTGAGGAACCTGACATGGACCAGCTGAGCTGTGCTCTGAGCCTGCCCTGCCCTTTGTACCTGTTCCCACCCCAGAGCTGTGTCACGGAGGCTGTTTGTCCAAGGGTGAACTTGGGGAGCTGATTTGGCTGGAAAGTTTATGTCAAGTTATTCCAGTTATTGTATCCCAGCTGAAGCAGTGGTTGTGTCCATGCAGGAGAGGTGAGTGAGGACATGAGGAGCAGCCCCTGGAGCTCTGCACAGTGGTCAGGACCTTGTGCTGACTGTGAAAATCAGTTTGAAAGTTCTATTTTTAAGGAATTCAGTAATTCATTTGTTCATTAAGGGGCTGATTATAGCCATAACAAATGATTGTTCACTTTTGTTTTACAGTCTTTTAAAATGTGCTGCTGACTTTGACTTAAGAGCTCAGTACCAGCTGATTTGTGTCAAGGTTCTGGTGGTGTAGCAGAGCAAGTTCAGTTCTCAGAAACCTTCTCTCCCAGGGGCCCAGCTCTGTTCTGCTCCAGTGGATCTCTGCCAGCCTGGCAGATACTCTGGGTTTAGGCAGCTGAAAGCCTGTGTGCTGCTGCTGTGGTGGGGTGAGATGCCAGCCCCATGCATTCCCAGGCTGCTGCTCTGTCCCAACTCATGCCAACACCACCTCTGTGGTGTCAGGAGGCTCTGGGCTGGCCAGGGCCCCGTTCCCCTGTGGATCCTGCCATCCAGAGGCACAGGGACAGCTCCTGCATGGTCATCTCGGTCCCAGACGGAGTGTGGGGGCCGTGGGAGGGACTGGGGCTGGGAGGGAGTGCTTTCCCCATTAGGAATGGCTTGGAGGGACCTCGGTTTGCAGCCCAGAGTTAACTGGTTGGACTCTGGGAATGTGACCAGCCCTGGCTGCAGGCTGTGCTGTGCTGGAGTGTCTCCTGGAGGAAGCTCCAGTGCAGGGTCTCCGGGCTGGAGGCCAGTGACCAGCACTGCTGGGCTTGGGAGTGCCCTTGGGAACAGCATCTGCAGCTAAATCTTTCAGTTCTTACTCAGTCCTTGATTCCTGAGGGATTTCTTCATGGCCTTTGTTAAGATGCAAATAAGCCCTAACAAGGGCTGAGGACACAAGTTTAGCAGTGAAAAGGAAATTCTGTTCTTTTCTAGAAGTTTGCTTATTCCCAAATTAGCTAGGGAGGAATTGGCATCCCGCAGAGCTGCGGTTGGCTGTAGGCTTTAAACTGGTCATACCTGTTACTCAGGGGGAGGCTGAGGTTAATTCCAAGAGAGACAAAGGTTAATTCCAATGGAGACAAAGGTTAATTCCAAGGGAGACAAAGGTTAATTCGGAGGCAGACAGGTCCCTTTGATGGTTTGCTGCTTGCCCTGTTCAGAGAGGAGACGTCCGTACTGCTGTCCTAGGATTGTGTTTGCTCTTTCATGCTTGTGGCTCACTGGAAAACATTATTTAGTGGCTCTCTCTTGGCTTCCTTGTTAAAGGTGGAATGTGGGCCTGCAGGAAGGGTGAGTCTCCCTTTCTGCACTTCCAAGCTTACAGCAGCAGCAATGCCTGTTCTAGGGCAACTCTGGCCTGGCCACACTTCTGCTGCCACCCAGGGCTGGGTGCAGGGAGATTGATTTGTCCAGTTCTGGATTTAGAGCCTTCATCAGCCACTTCAGTGTATAAAGAGCAGTAAAGATACATACATCAAAATTATTTTGCACTTCCCATAATGAGCCACAGTCTGTGAGTAACCAGATTGACTCTGCTAGCACAGGACTGAGCCACTGTGGCTTTTCACTCCAATGAATATGTTGTCCTAGGAAGAAGGAAGGGAAGGGGAAATCTGGTTGTGGTTCCAAAGCTGTGTGGTGGAGGCTGTATTCTGTTTGATGGGGTTTTAGTGAATGTTGTAGCTAAAGCTGTTCAAAAGCATCCAGTAACTTTATAGAAGGAGAGGTGGAACACAAACATGGAATAATATTAATAGGAATTTATTAATAGAATAATATAATATATAAATAATGTTATAATAATAATATATGTTACAAACATATTTATTATATAAGCAAATATGGACAGGACTTGAAGCAGCCTGGGCCAGTGGAAGGTGTTCATGCCCATGGCAGGGGGGGGGACTGGATGAGCAGCTTTGAGATCCCTTCAACCCAAACCATTCCAGGATTCTCCTATCAAACCACTTAGCTGAGGTGTGTAGTAGTTGCATTTAGAGTTAGATTCAAAGCTGCTTGACTGTGCTGCTATATCTGGGCTGTTCTTACACTGCAGTGCTTCCTTGTCATTTCTAGTGGGATAAATAAAGAAAGATAAATAATTGCTCTTTAACCGGATGTAATTTCCATCAGACAAAATGGGAGAAAAAGTTTATCAATCTGATCTGTGTTTTCCTCAGCAAATAAGTATTGCAGTGCTGGCAGAGTACTTCAGGGGCTTTTTTCTGAGTCTGCTTGAGGTTTTAAGCATTTATTCTGGTATTTAATTATTAAACACCTTGTGGTTCACAACTAGTTCAAGCAGATAATGTGCTGTGAAATGGAAGTCAAATGCCTTAAAAACACCAACCCAAACATGGCCAAGTCTTGTTGAAGGTGTTGGGCATGTTCAGCTCACCGAGCCTAAGCAGGAAGATGAGCTCTGTGCCTGCCCAGTTTTGCAGTAGGGATTAAACATTGCAGCATCAGAAGGAAGTCTGTGGTAGATGAGGAACTCTTGACAGCAGCGAGGGAAATTCTCTGAACAGGAAAATAGGGTCCTGGAGTCCCTCCAAGTGCTCTATGGTGTAGATGAGTGGTAAGAGGGAGCAGCTGGGTGCAAGAGATCAGGGTGAACTGAATTTATCTTTGATTTATAGCCTAGCAAAGGCTACCTGTCCAGCACTGTCTGAGCCAGTGAGTCAACACCAAACAAATCTGTGTCAGCAGTAAGCAATTTAAAGTTCCTGTGCAAACTGGGCTGGAAGAAGGTGTGGAATTGTGCATGTGTTGGGAGTATGTTTGTAGCAAGTGATAGGATTTTGGCAATGTGTGTAAATATTCAGTATTTTTCTGTTGAGGATAGACCTTTCCTGGGAATATTATTAACTGCTGTTCATCTTAAGTAACAATTGGTTTTCTATTTTAATTTCATGGCATTCAGCAAACCGAGGCAGTGGGAGGGTTCTGGAGAAGGTTCTGTGCTGTGAGGGAAAGGGAAGGCTGAGGCTGCCGTTGCCGCTGGCTGCTGATAGATAAAGCTTTTCAGTGCTCAGATACAAGAGAAGAAGGTGACTCTCCTGCTTCTCTCTTATCTTTGTGTTCCTTTGTATTCAGGCACATTGGTACAACATGATTTAACATGGATTCACCCTGTGGAGTGAGGCTCGAGGTGCCTCAGTGCACTGAGCACTCAGTGAACAGTCCAGTTTGTTGTGGGAAACCTTGTGGGCTGGAAATACCTAGAGCTTGGTGGGTTTATGCTGCAGGCTGGGGATCCCAGGGATTTCAGGGCGGTGTTTGCAGCAATGGTTGAAATGGGATTATAGCTTGGAACTGAGCAGGTTTTGTGGGAAGCACTGAGGGATTCTTTGCTCCTGAACCTGCCAATTGTCTGACAATGGTCTTTTTCCCTCCTTTAGGGCTGAGAAAACAGAGGTACTCAGTGAGGACCTGCTGCAGGTATTGTAACACACTTACTATATTTCTTTTTAACACTCTTTGTGAAGTTTGAGTCTGCATGTCTCTGAATTCTGAGGGTGTGAGAAAACTGTGATGCATTTTGAGTGGAAAAACTCAGGTACTTCCATTTCTGAATCTGATCATGTGGCTCAGTGCAGGGAAGGAGGAAGCATTTTTGCTTTTAATTAGATGAAGGAGTTGATAAACTCAGGATCCATTGGTGCTGATGCATTGCCAGTCTGTCTGGTGGAGGATGGAGCAGCTGACTGGCACAGCTGGTTTCTGTCCTCACTTCTGCTTCTCTGCAACAGCTAACTGGGCCTTAAGAGAAGTGGCTAAAACCTGTGCCAATTGCTGCTAATAGAGCGGCAATTTTCTTCTTAGTCTGTTATTGCTCTAAATCAGTGTACAAATGCTTCTTGTTGAGCTTATGCTATTAAATAATGTACAAATGCTTCTTGTGTAGTTTGTGCTATTAAATGAGTGTTCCGATGCTTCTTGTGATATTTGTTCTCAAATCTATCTCCCTGACAGTTGATTTGTTTGCACACTTGTCATCCCTGTGACAGTATATCATCTCCTCAAACATGACTTTCCTGTGGAACTGTCAGATTCACAAGGGTGACTGATTGCATGGAGCAAATTTGACTACAGAATGGGCCTACATAGTTTTCCTCCTGGATTTTGTGAAAGACATAAGAATAGAGGCAGAGCTGTTGAGGGCAGTCAGGCTGGCTGCTCCCACACCTCCAGTGTGCTACTTGCTTCTGATTCATTACACAGCATCTCAGTGTGCTTGGGGTCAGGACCTGCACATGGAACAGGGAAGCCAAACAGATGATGCAAGGACTTCCAATTCAGAGCTCTCCAGCTGCTCAGGTTCAAGTAGAGATGAAGGAATGTGTCAGCCTTCATACTTGCGCTCAGCTCAAGTACATGAAATCGAAGTCAGAGAATCTCAGTCTAGTTTGGGTTGGAAGGGACCTTAAAGTTCATCCAGTTCCACACCCTGCCATGGGCAGGGACACCTTCCACTAGCCCAGGTTGCTCCAAGCCCCATCCAACCTGGCCTGGGACACTCCCAGGGATGTGAGAGCCACAGATTCTCTGGGCAACCTGTGCCAGTGTAAGGGCAATGAGCAGAGCTGAGCCATTTCCCCCTGTTCTCAGGGAACTTTATTTAGACTATAAATACCTGACCTGTCAGTACTAAAGCTGTGAGAAGATGCACAGTGCAGTGGCACAAAGGCTTCTGTACACCTTGGTAGCCTGCAAGGGCCCATCTGTTTTCTTGCTTCGCTGCAGAATAGTAACAAGAAGTGAAAGCCAAAAGCTCTGCCGCTTGTTGCCAAAAAAATTTTGCAAGCAAGGCTTTCCCAGGCCCTGAGCAGCCTGACTACACCCAAGTGGAAGAATTTACTCACTTGTTTGTTTGCTCTTGGGGGCTTGTAGAGGGGCAGGAGGCTCTTATCTAACCAAAGAGCTTTGGGCCATGGTTCTGCTCACTCGACAAACATGGGGCACAGTTGGGCTGGTTTATATTTAGCTCAGGCTTTGCCACAGGATTGTCATGGCTTTTTGTGTGTTCTGTTTTCTGAAGGGTTGTGCTCCATTTCAAGTGTCTGTTAAATATATTCCTGTCTGGAGACAAGGGATTTGATTCAGTGCTGAAAAGGCTCCTACAATAGCCTCGCTTTGTGCCATGGCCTTGTAGTGTATAATAAAGCATTTGTGTGCTGTTGTGTCCTCTGAGGGTGCCCTGAGGGGACAGACAGCATGGCCTGTAGGTCACATTGGCAGTTCAAAGGTGGCTTGAAGGAGATGAATGTCCTTTGTGGTTTTCCTGACATCTTTGAACTAAAAATGCTGATCAGAGAGGAGCGTATAATCTCATGAAGTTTGAGGGTCATGTTCCTCCTATCAGTCATCTGCCTTGTGAGTCTGGTGTTCAGGGTGGACAGAGACTGCTGGGAACGTGTGTGCTCCAGAGTGTCTCTAAGGAATGTGAGACACCACCACCCAGGGCTGTGCAGCCTGCTGGGATGGGTGAGGTAGTTCAGTACAGGATATCACTGTGGTTCAGGAGTGAAGAACCTCTGTGCTCAGTGTTTTAACAAGTCTTAACTGTGTGACCTTGCAAAAATGAATTCTTCCACAAATGATGGATGCTTTAGAATGTGGGAGTGATATTTCCTACCTGTGAGGGTGCTGAGGCACTGGCTGTGGCTGCTCCATCCCTGGGAGTGCTCCAGGCCAGGTTGGACAGGGCTTGGAGCACCCTGGGCTGGTGGAAGGTGTCCCTGCCCATGGCAGGCGGGGGGGATGGGATGAGCTTTGAGGTCCTTCCAACCCAGACCATTCTGGGATTTAATTTTGAAGATAACATACCACAAATGGATCGTTTTAGCTGCAGCAGTAGACCACAAACAGTACCTTTGTGTTCATACATTTCCATATGGACCTTTTTCTCCTGGACTTCATTGTTGCTGCAAGCTGTCAATAAAAGGCAAAGCCTTGTGCTTTCAGAGCTGTCCTTGGGCACTTTCTCTGCACCTTACTCACCCTAACAGATTTTTACTGCACTTTTTGAGCACTCAGACTCACCTTGGCCTCCTGAAAATACAACAGAAGTGATTTTAGAGCTGTATCAAAAACTGGAGTCTGTTTCTGCTTTTTTTCCTCTTGCTTTTAAAATAGAATCCATTCCAAAAGGCCTCCTGTTATTCTTGGTGAGTCATCAAAATGCAGATAAACAGCATTCTTTGGGTGCTGTGCACAGAGAGCTCAGTGCCATGAGCAGTTCTGTCCCACTGCTCATCACTTTGTTTGCTTTTCGTCTTCTTTGAAATAAAATAGTCCAAATTCCTTGCTTAAAATCACTTAAAAGAACAGTTTATTATGTGTATATTTGTCATATTCACAGGCTGTGATTAAGCCGTGTTTGAATTATATGGTGACAAACAGAGCTCTGGTTTGTGCTGTGACACCTATTTTTGTAATTCCATATCCCCTTCAAATTCTAGTCTTCTCTCCCTGAAAATACTACTTTGGTCAGCATGTATGAACTTTGTCCTTGGATTTAACAGCTAGAGAAGACAGGCAGGAGAAAGCTTGGAGTGCACAGGCTTGGTACAGTGTGAAGGAGCTGTTAGATGTGTCTTCAACACCTCCTTTACAAGGTCACAGTGAGACATGAGTTTTCCCACAGGTTTCTCCCTAAATGAGTGTCTTAGGTATCTGCATGTGCCAGTAATCCCTGATGGCAGTACCAACCTGGTTCCTTTTTGCTGAGATGCCAGGTAGGGGCAGCATTTGTCCCTTCCCACTCTGTGGTGCTGTGAGCTCCCACTGAGGAAAAGCAGTTCAAACCTCTCTCGCAGTTCTCCTGTCGGGCACTTCTGCTCAGCAGCTGAACTTCTTGTAAGCTGGAGAGTCTGAGAAATCTGCAGCCCAGAGCAAGTGTGGTGCAGGAGGAAGATTTTCTGCTGAGGGCAGGGAAATCACTTCTGTTTTGTGTTTTGTTTTCTGTTCCTCCTCCCCCCGGGCCCCCCCAGATCGAGAGGCGCCTGGACACTGTCCGGTCCGTGTGCCACCTCGCACAGAAGAGACTCATTGCCTGTTTCCAGGGCCAGCATGGCACAGACCCTGAGAAGAGACATGTGAGTACAGCTGGGGATTGGCTTCCCAGCCCAGGCTGAGTTCTACCTCACATCAGCCAGGGAATGGGGAACTGTGCAATCAGCTCATTGGTGAGATGCCAACTGTAATTCCCCATCCAAATACAACAGCACAGCCTTGGAGCACCTTGTGATGTCAGGGCACTCGCTTGGCTCTGCAGCTGCTGAATGCATGGAGTGTTTGTGAGACCCAGCTAAGGGGAGATCGAAGTCCTCATATTTAGAGTCACCTTTGGGCACAGACACCTCCAGCTGCCTGTAAATGTTTATCTGCACACACCTGATTTCTGCCTCTCTGCAGCAAAACCACAGTAGGTTTTCTTAAAGCACTACGAGAAATACTAGAACATTAAAGCTTTCTCTTTTTATTATTATACTCAATTTATTGAGTACTAGAAGCCCCTAGGAGGGAGAGGTGACAAGTTGGTGGCTTAGATTTCCAGTTAAAGCTGTTTACCTCTCTCTGGCAGTAGCTGACACGTGTTTTGGGCCAGTGATTTGAGCTAAGACTGAGAAGAAAGTGCTTTTCAGAGTATCTGAGAACAGGAGTGTTGAGGCTTGAAACTTTTTGTGACTTGGCATTTTCTTCAAGTTCAAGAACGAGCTGTGTGTGTGTAATAGAAACCATCTGGAAGAGGAGAGAACCTTAGAGGGGATGTATTGGGAAAGCTGGAAA